TATTCTTGTGACCATACGAAGGATAATCATAGATTACTCTTATCTTACTGCTACGTTATCACAATAGCAAACTGTACAACAATACAATCAACAATGCGAGCACCTAACAGCCTGTTCATTGGTTACCATATAAGTAACCACATATAGTAACTGACCATAGTAACCATAGTAACCATAGTAACCCCATAGTAACTAACCATAGTAACCATAGTAACCCCATAGTAACTAACCATAGTAACCACATCATTCTTACCGTCATTGCTCATTAGTTTCACAATTCTTGGCAAAGTTAAAGGAATGATGACTAAAACCCACTAAATGGGCGGCTACAAAGTGTGTCGAACTATTGTACACTAGTAGTTCTGCTATAGCCTATATATAGTAGAACTACAAGTATATATATATATATATATATATACTATAATGTTCCACTAATACTATATATATTGTGAAATGTATAATGTATAGAGTATTAGTAGAACTATCAGATTTGTTCCTGTAAGATCACCTAACAGCTCAACCCATACTTACACTCGTCATAGCAACTACAATACCAGTACAGTGTACTGAGTACACCTAACTAACAGCTCATTATCTTATCTTACTCTTTACGTTATCATGACAGCTACACTACCACTGTATATACTACTACATACTATATACTATATATACTATATATATACTATATATACTATATATAATACTATATTAAATACTACTACGCAGTGTAATCAACAATTCCCGTCCTGATAAACCAGCACTAGTATTACTTGTGTATTATTTGTGTGTTCTGGTGTATTACTAGTGTATTATTGGTGTGGAGTAGGTTTCGTGTTACCCACGTGTTTTCTAATTCTTCTGTCATTTTGTATGGTCATATTCATAAACTTCTCAAATTGTATATAAGTGATTAGGAAGGTTGCAGGGGCTGCCAAAGTTGCTACAGTTTTCGGAATTTTGACACGATTCTTTCAAATGAGATGAGGCACTTGGCCCACAATTTTCCCAATCTACCCCCGTCCCCCCCCCCTCCCCCGATATGTCACTACATAACCAATCTACCTCCCCCCCCCCCATATGTCACTACATAACCAAGCTACCCCCCCCCCCCATATGTCACTACATAACCAATCTACCTCCCCCCCCATATGTCACTACATAGCCAAGCTACCCCCCCCCCCCATATGTCACTACATAACCAAGCTACCCCCCCCATATGTCACTACATAACCAAGCTACCCCCCCCCCCATGTGTCACTACATAACCAATCTACCCCCCCCCCCCATATGTCACTACATAACCAAGCTACCCCCCCCCCCATATGTCACTACATAACCAAGCTACCCCCCCCCATGTGTCACTACATAACTAAGCTACCCCCCCCCCCCCCCATATGTCACTACATAATCAAGCTACCCCCCCCCCCCCCCATATGTCACTACATAACCAAGCTACCTCCCCCCATAAGTCACTACATAACCAAGCTACCCCCACCCCCCCCCCCCCCCCCATATGTCACTATATAACCAAGCTACCCCCCCCCCCCCCATATGTCACTACATAACCAAGCTACCCCCCCCCCCATATGTCACTTCATAACCAAGCTACCCTCCCCCCCCCCATATGTCACTACATAACCAAGCTACCCCCCCCCCATATGTCACTTCATAACCAAGCTACCCCCACCCCCCCATATGTCACTACATAACCAAGCTACCCCCCCCCCCATATGTCACTACATAACCAAGCTACCCTCCCCCCCCCCATATGTCACTACATAACCAAGCTACCCCCCCCCATATGTCACTTCATAACCAAGCATACCCCCCCCCCCCTATGTCACTACATAACCAAGCTACCCCCCCCCCCCCCCCATATGTCACTACATAACCAAGCTACCCTCCCCCCCCATATGTCACTACATAACCAAGCTATCCCCCCCCCCCCTCCCATATGTCACTACATAACCAAGCAACCCCCACCCCCCCATATGTCACTACATAACCAAGCTACCCCCCCCCATATGTCACTACATAACCAAGCTACCCTCCCCCCCCCATATGTCACTACATAACCAAGCTACCCCCCCCCCCATATGTCACTTCATAACCAAGCTACCCCCACCCCCCCATATGTCACTACATAACCAAGCTACCCCCCCCCCCATATGTCACTACATAACCAAGCTACCCTCCCCCCCCCCATATGTCACTACATAACCAAGCTACCCCCCCCCCATATGTCACTTCATAACCAAGCATACCCCCCCCCTATGTCACTACATAACCAAGCTACCCCCCCCCCCCCATATGTCACTACATAACCAAGCTACCCTCCCCCCCCCCCATATGTCACTACATAACCAAGCTACCCCCCCCCCCCCCATATGTCACTACATAACCAAGCTACCCCCCCCCCCCATATGTCACTACATAACCAAGCTATCCCCCCCCCTCCCATATGTCACTACATAACCAAGCAACCCCCCCCCCCCCCATATGTCACTACATAACCAAGCTACCCCCCCCCCCATATGTCACTACATAACCAAGCTACCCCCCCCCCCCCCCCCCCATATGTCACTACATAACCAAGCTACCCCCCCCCCCCCCCATATGTCACTACATAACCAAGCAACCCCCCCCCCCCATATGTCACTACATAACCAAGCTACCCCCCCCCCCCCCCCCATATGTCACTACATAACCAAGCTACCCCCCCCCCCCCCCCCCCCCCCCATATGTCACTTCATAACCAAGCTACCCCCCCCCCCCCCCCCCCCATATGTCACTACATAACCAAGCTACCTCCCCCCCCCCCCATATGTCACTACATAACCAAGCTACCTCGCTCATCACTCCAAGTATAACTCATCTCCGCGTTGTTGCTGTGCTGTACACTGCTGTACATTTAGTTCGTTTGTATAGCTACACAGATATCGCCTTCCCAGTTTAGCACACCGAATATAGTAAAACTGTCTTGACACTTGCAGTGTAGTAGTTACCATAGTAACTGCACATTGACAGTACACTATAAATTATACATTATACATAGTGTATAATGTATACATTGACAGTACACAGATTAGTTACTGATAGTACACATTGACAGTACACAGATTAGTTACTGATAATACACATTGACAGTACACAGATTAGTTACTAATAGTATACATTGACAGTACACAGATTAATTACTGATAGTACACATTGACAGTACACAGATTAGTTACTGATAGTACACATTGACAGTACACAGATTAGTTACTGATAGTACACATTGACAGTACACAGATTAGTTACTGATAGTACACATTGACAGTACACAGATTAGTTACTAATAGTACACATTGACAGTACACAGATTAGTTACTGATAGTACACATTGACAGTACACAGAGTAGTTACTGATAGTACACATTGACAGTACACAGATTAGTTACTGATAGTACACATTGACAGTACACAGATTAGTTACTGATAGTACACATTGACAGTACACAGATTAGTTACTGATAGTACACATTGACAGTACACAGATTAGTTACTGATAGTACACATTGACAGTACACAGATTAGTTACTGATAGTACACATTGACAGTACACAGAATAGTTACTAATAGTACACATTGACAGTACACAGATTAGTTACTGATAGTACACATTGACAGTACACAGATTAGTTACTAATAGTACACATTGACAGTACACAGATTAGTTACTAATAGTACACATTGACAGTACACAGATTAGTTACTGATAGTACACATTGACAGTACACAGATTAGTTACTGATAATACACATTGACAGTACACAGATTAGTTACTAATAGTATACATTGACAGTACACAGATTAGTTACTGATAGTACACATTGACAGTACACAGATTAGTTACTGATAGTACACATTGACAGTACACAGATTAATTTCTGATAGTACACATTGACAGTACACAGATTAGTTACTAATAGTACACATTGACAGTACACAGATTAGCTACTGATAGTACACATTGACAGTACACAGATTAGTTACTGATAGTACACATTGACAGTACACAGATTAGTTACTGATAGTACACATTGACAGTACACAGATTAGTTACTGATAGTACACATTGACAGTACACAGATTAGTTACTGATAGTACACATTGACAGTACACAGATTAGTTACTGATAGTACACATTGACAGTACACAGATTAGTTACTGATAGTACACATTGACAGTACACAGATTAGTTACTGATAGTACACATTGACAGTACACAGATTAGTTACTAATAGTACACATTGACAGTACACAGATTAGTTACTGATAGTACACATTGACAGTACACAGATTAGTTACTAATAGTACACATTGACAGTACACAGATTAGTTACTAATAGTACACATTGACAGTACACAGATTAGTTACTGATAGTACACATTGACAGTACACAGATTAGTTACTGATAATACACATTGACAGTACACAGATTAGTTACTAATAGTATACATTGACAGTACACAGATTAATTACTGATAGTACACATTGACAGTAAACAGATTAGTTACTGATAGTACACATTGACAGTACACAGATTAGTTACTGATAGTACACATTGACAGTACACAGATTAGTTACTGATAGTACACATTGACAGTACACAGATTAGTTACTGATAGTACACATTGACAGTACACAGATTAGTTACTGATAGTACACAATGACAGTACACAGATTAATTACTGATAGTACACATTGACAGTACACAGATTAGTTACTAATAGTACACATTGACAGTACACAGATTAGTTACTGATAGTACACATTGACAGTACACAGATTAGTTACTGATAGTACACATTGACAGTACACAGATTAGTTACTGATAGTACACATTGACAGTACACAGATTAGTTACTAATAGTACACATTGACAGTACACAGAGTAGTTACTGATAGTACACATTGACAGTACACAGATTAGTTACTGATAGTACACATTGACAGTACACAGATTAGTTACTAATGCTGAAAAAGGCGCTTGTTATTTGTATGACTGAGAGATGAAACCGTGTTTTGGAGGTCTAAATAGTGCTCCTGGGGGAAGAAGGAAGAAGCTGAATGCGGTACGTAGTCACACTGTAGTGTACCCCCCCCCCCCCCCCCCCCCTCACCTTGTTTTAGCTATTTCAGAGTCCAGGCCCTCCCTTTACAATTAAATAATATGCTGTAATCGATTAAAAACTGAGAATCGTGTGAGTGTGATGTAGTCATGTACAAAATATACAATATACACATTATACATATACAATATACACATTGGCAGTACACAATATACAATATACACATTGACAGTACACAATATACAATATACACAGTACACAATAAACAATATACACAGTACACAATACACAATATACACATTGACAGTACACAATATACACATTGACAGTGCACAACATACACAGTACACAATATACAATATACACATTGACAGTACACAATATACAATATACACATTGACAGTACACAATATACAATATACACAGTACACAATATACAATATACACATTATACATATACAATATACACATTGACAGTACACAATATACAATATACACAGTACACAATAAACAATATACACAGTACACAATATACAATATACACATTGACAGTACACAATATACACATTGACAGTGCACAACATACACAGTACCCAATATACAATATACACATTTACAGTACACAATATACAATATACACATTGACAGTACACAATATACAATATACACATTGACAGTACACAATATACACATTATACAATATACACATTGGCAGTACACAATATACAATATACACATTGGCAGTACACAATATACAATATACACATTGACAGTACACAATATACAATATACACATTGGCAGTACACAATATACAATATACACATTGGCAGTACACAATATACAATATACACATTGACAGTACACAATATACAATATACACATTGACAGTACACAATATACAATATACACAGTACACAATATACAATATACACATTATACATATACAATATACACATTGACAGTACACAATATACAATATACACAGTACACAATAAACAATATACACAGTACACAATATACAATATACACATTGACAGTACACAATATACACATTGACAGTGCACAACATACACAGTACCCAATATACAATATACACATTGACAGTACACAATATACAATATACACATTGACAGTACACAATATACAATATACACATTGACAGTACACAATATACACATTATACAATATACACATTGGCAGTACACAATATACAATATACACATTGGCAGTACACAATATACACATTGACAGTACACAATATACAATATACACATTGGCAGTACACAATATACAATATACACATTGACAGTACACAATATGCAGTGTAATATGAACAGTTTTTTACAGAGTGTAAAATTAAAACATTGAAATGCACATGAATATACAGTGCTCCATTTCAGATCAAGGAGTTTGAGGATGATATGGAGAAGAGAACTAAACGTCTCCACTCTCAATTAGAGGAACTCACTGATTTAGTGGACTCGCTCGAGATAGACAGGTTCTATACTATTACTTATTCAATGTGATTTAGTCTTATGGGAACCTATGCATGGTAGAGCACAGCAAGGCCGACCAAGACAAAGCTACTTGTATATGTTACTGAAGGAAGAACCCTGACACGGGACAGGGATTATCGAGGGGTTATCTGGTGTAGATCAGACTATTAGTTGAGCACTGTGCTATATTTGTATATAATATATTATATAATATATAGTTTTGTGGAACATCACTTGCCGACGATCGACCGTGGAATGGCTTCCAGGGAAGTGATGTTGCATATACAGTATACACATTATATAGTGTTACAAGTGTAGCAGAGCTGTAATTATCTTGGCAACTTCCCAGACACGAGCTGATAGGAGAAGGACTGATAGCAGAGGATCCGGACACTCTGATACTATCTGACGAGGCGATACACCGGAGATACGATATCATCACTAAATACCGGTAACCAATAGTTACAAGCAAATAGCTATTCCATACTAGTACTACAAGCAAATAGCTATTCCATACTAGTACTACAAGCAAATAGCTATTCCATACTAGTACTACAAGCAAATAGCTATTCCATACTAGTACTACAAGCAAATAGCTATTCCATACTAGTACTACAAGCAAATAGCTATTCCATACTAGTACTACAAGCAAATAGCTATTCCATACTAGTACTACAAGCAAATAGCTATTCCATACTAGTACTACAAGCAAATAGCTATTCCATACTGGTACTACAAGCAAATAGCTATTCCATACTGGTACTACTGCCGTACTGGCTTTTGTAAGATTGTAGCATTGTAACAAAGACTTTTTGCAGTGATTTAGTTACACCCCTGCTTAGTATAAACTGTACTGTGCACTGTGTACTGTGTACTGTGCACTGTTGGGCTACACTTAGTATAAACTCCACCCTCCCCAGGAGTGAAGTGTACTGTGTACTGTGTACTGTGTACTGTGTACTGTGTACTGTGTATAAACTCCACCCTCCCCAGGAGTAAGGTGTACTGTGTACTGTGTACTGTGTACTGTGTACTGTGTACTGTGTACTGTGTACTGTGTACTGTGTACTGTGTACTGTGTACTGTGTACTGTGTACTGTGTACTGTGTACTGTGTATAAACTCCACCCTCCCCAGGAGTAAGGTGTACTGTGTACTGTGTACTGTGTACTGTGTACTGTGTACTGTGTACTGTGTACTGTGTACTGTGTACTGTGTACTGTGTACTGTGTATAAACTCCACCCTCCCCAGGAGTAAGGTGTACTGTGTACTGTGTACTGTGTACTGTGTACTGTGTACTGTGTACTGTGTACTGTGTACTGTGTACTGTGTACTGTGTACTGTGTATAAACTCCACCCTCCCCAGGAGTAAGGTGTACTGTGTACTGTGTACTGTGTACTGTGTACTGTGTACTGTGTACTGTGTACTGTGTACTGTGTACTGTGTACTGTGTACTGTGTACTGTGTACTGTGTACTGTGTACTGTGTACTGTGTACTGTGTATAAACTCCGCCCTCCCCAGGAGTGAAGTGTACTGTGTACTGTGTACTGTGTACTGTGTACTGTGTACTGTGTATAAACTCCACCCTCCCCAGGAGTAAGGTGTACTGTGTACTGTGTACTGTGTACTGTGTACTGTGTACTGTGTACTGTGTACTGTGTACTGTGTACTGTGTACTGTGTACTGTGTATAAACTCCACCCTCCCCAGGAGTAAGGTGTACTGTGTACTGTGTACTGTGTACTGTGTACTGTGTACTGTGTACTGTGTACTGTGTACTGTGTACTGTGTACTGTGTACTGTGTACTGTGTACTGTGTACTGTGTACTGTGTACTGTGTACTGTGTACTGTGTATAAACTCCACCCTCCCCAGGAGTAAGGTGTACTGTGTACTGTGTACTGTGTACTGTGTACTGTGTACTGTGTACTGTGTACTGTGTACTGTGTACTGTGTACTGTGTATAAACTCCGCCCTCCCCAGGAGTGAAGTGTACTGTGTACTGTGTACTGTGTACTGTGTACTGTGTATAAACTCCGCCCTCCCCAGGAGTGAAGTGAACTGTGTACTGTGTACTGTGTACTGTGTACTGTGTACTGTGTACTGTGTACTGTGTACTGTGTACTGTGTACTGTGTATAAACTCCACCCTCCCCAGGAGTGAAGTGAACGATAACATGTCCACTTCTATAGATCTGAAACACCACATCACAAGGCTTCACAGACTGCTGCTGAAAGGGGAGACACTACATGATTCCATATACCTCCACTTCGACTCTCCTAAGCCATCCTCCTTACAGGTTTCACTTTACTTCATAGGCAATACAACTAAAGAGAGCCCAACAAATGAGTGTCTTTGAAATGTGACAGTGATCAAGGCTATCTGCAATTTAAATCGGTTTGAAGGATGTAAAGTTACAGGTTTATAACTCATAATGAATGTAAAACAAAGTGAATAAAAATAATAATTGTAATCTTCTTGTCCTTTTACCACCCTGTCCCCCAGATCCTGAAGAGAGAGCTGTCCCGACTAGAACAACTGAAACAAGAGAAACTAGAGGCGTACGTGGGGGGTCTCAGGGAGGAGATAGTTAACTTCCAGAAACTGTGCTTCCAGACCAGATGCGAGGTAAGTGTTATATAGGCGTACGTGGGGGGTCTCAGGGAGGAGATAGTTAACTTCCAGAGACTGTGCTTCCAGACCAGATGCGAGGTAAGTGTTATATAGGCGTACGTGGGGGTCTCAGGGAGGAGATAGTTAACTTCCAGAGACTGTGCTTCCAGACCAGATGCGAGGTAAGTGTTATATAGGCGTACGTGGGGGGTCTCAGGGAGGAGATAGTTAACTTCCAGAGACTGTGCTTCCAGACCAGATGCGAGGTAAGTGTTATATAGGCGTACGTGGGGGGTCTCAGGGAGGAGATAGTTAACTTCCAGAAACTGTGCTTCCAGACCAGATGCGAGGTAAGTGTTATATAGGCGTACGTGGGGGGTCTCAGGGAGGAGATAGTTAACTTCCAGAGACTGTGCTTCCAGACCAGATGCGAGGTAAGTGTTGTATAGGCGTACGTGGGGGGTAGGTAAGTGTTATATAGGGGGGGGTGTCATGTCCGTCTATGTCCGCCTATGTCCTGTCCTTTTTGGATTCTATGAGACAACGGACGTGTTTTTTGGGACATAGGCGGACACGGACGGACATTGGCGGACTCGGACGGACATTGGCGGACTCGGACGGACATAGGCGGACCCGGACGGACATAGGCGGACTCGGACGGACATTGGTGGACATTAGCGGACATTGGTGGACATTAACGGACAAACATTTTGAGAATTTTTCGCAACTTGTATTATAATCTTGTACAAAACAAACGACTTATTAATCACCCTAAAGCTATTAATAGCTTTAACTTATTATATCAAATTATATAGGGACCCAGGAAAAGGCCCCAGGAGGAGGAGGAGGAGGATGACTGGGGAGGAGGAGGACTGTTGAGGACTGATGAGGAGGACTGAGGACGAGGAGGAGGAGTAGGAGGAGGACTGAGGAGGGGAGGAGGAAGAGAACTGGGGAGGATCAGGAAGACCCAGGAGGAGGACCCAGGAGGAGGAGGAGAAGGACTCAGGAGGATGACTCAGGAGGAGGACTGAGGAGGACTGAGAAGGAGGAGGACTGAAGAGTACTGGAGAGTACTGAGGAGGATGGCTGAGGAGGATGGCTGAGGAGGATGGCTGAGGAGGATGGCTGAGGAGGATGACTGAGGAGGATGACTGAGAGGGAAGAGGAGGATCAGGAAGACCCAGGAGGAGGAGGAGGAGGAGGACCCAGGAGGACCTAAGAGGAGGAGGAGAAGAACTGAGGAGGATGACTCAGGAGGAGGAGGACTCAGGAGGAGGACTCAGGAGGACTGAGAAGGAGGAGGACTGAGAAGGATGGCTGAGGAGGATGACTGAGAGGGAGGAGGAGGAAGAGGAGGAAGAGGACTGAGGAGAAGGACTGAGGAGGAGAAGGAGGACCCAGGAGGAGGAGGACTCAGGAGGAGGAGGACCCAGGAGGAGGATGACTCAGGAGGAGGAGGACTCAGGAGGAGGACTCAGGAGGACTGAGAAGGAGGAGGACTGAGGAGGATGGCTGAGGAGGATGACTGAGAGGGAGGAGGAGGAAGAGGAGGAAGAGGACTGAGGAGAAGGACTGAGGAGGAGAAGGAGGACCCAGGAGGAGGAGGACTCAGGAGGAGGAGGACCCAGGAGGAGGACCCAGGAAAAGGCCCCAGGAGGAGGAGGAGGACTGGGGAGGAGGAGGACTGTTGAGGACTGATGAGGAGAACTGAGGACGAGGAGGAGTAGGAGGAGGACCCAGGAGGAGGAGGAGGAGGAGGACCCAGGAGGAGGACTCAGGAGGACTGAGGAGGAGGACTGACGATGACTGAGAAGGAGGACTGAGGAGTACTGAGGAGGATGGCTGAGGAGGATGGCTGAGGAGGATGGCTGAGGAGGATGACTGAGGAGGATGACTGAAAGGGAGGAGGAGGAGGACTCAGGAGGGGAGGAGGAAGAGAACTGGGGAGGATCAGGAAGACCCAGGAGGAGGACCCATGAGGAGGAGGAGGAGGACTGAGGAGGATGACTCAGGAGGAGGAAGACTCAGGAGGAGGACTGAGGAGGACTGAGAAGGAGGAGGACTGAAGAGTACTGAAGAGTACTGAGGAGGATGGCTGAGGAGGATGGCTGAGGAGGATGGCTGAGGAGGATGGCTGAGGAGGATGACTGAGGAGGATGACTGAGGAGGATGACTGAGAGGGAGGAGGAGGATCAGGAAGACCCAGGAGGAGGAGGACTGTTGAGGACTGATGAGGAGAACTGAGGACGAGGAGGACCCAGGAGGAGGAGGAGGAGGAGGACCCAGGAGGAGGAGGACTCAGGAGGACTGAGGAGGAGGACTGACGATGACTGAGAAGGAGGAGGACTGAGGAGTACTGAGGAGGATGGCTGAGGAGGATGGCTGAGGAGGATGGCTGAGGAGGATGACTGAGGAGGATGACTGAGAGGGAGGAGGAGGAGGACTCAGGAGGAGGACTCAGGAGGAAGAGGACTCAGGAGGAGGACTTAGGAGAAATGAGAAGGAGGACTCTGGACTGAGGAGAACTGAGGAGGAGGAGGAGGAGGAGGACTGAATAGGAGGAGGAGAAGGAGGGGGACTCGGAGAGGACTGAGGACTCGGAGGACTGATGAGAAGGATGAGGAGGACTGAGGACCGAGGAGGAAGAGGAGGAGGATGAAGAGGAGGAGGAGGACCCAGGAGGAGGAGGACTGAGGAGGAGGACTGAGGAGGATGACTGAGAGGGAAGAGGAGGAGGAGGAAGAGGAGGAGGACTCAGGAGGAGGAGGAGGAGGACTGAGGAGGACTGAGAAGGAGGAGGACTGAGGAGGAGGAGGAGGAGGACTGAATAGGAGGAGGAGGAGGGGGACTGGGGGAGGACTGAGGAGAAGGATGGAGGACTGAGGAGAAGGATGAGGAGGAGGACTGAGGAGGACTGAGGACTGAGGAGGAAGAGGAGGAGGATGAAGAGGAGGAGGAGGAGGACCCAGGAGGAGGACTCAGAAGGAGGAGGAGGACTGGGGAGGAGGAGGACTGTTGAGGACTGATGAGGAGGACTGAGGACGAGGAGGAGTAGGAGGAGGACTGAGGAGGGGAGGAGGAAGAGGACTGAGGAAGATCAGGAAGACCCAGGAGGAGGAGGAGGAAGAGTAGGAGGAGGAAGCATTTAAATGTTATTTCCATTTTTGTCCGTTTTTGTCCATTTTTGTCCGTTTTTGTCCGCTCTATTTTTTGTCCGTTTTGAAAATATAGGGTACCGAACGGACAAAAAACATGATCCCCCTATAACAGCAAAAATTGAACATTTTATTTAGCAATTTAGGTGTCCATTAATGTCCGCTAATGTCCGTCTATGTCCGCCTATGTCCGTCTATGTCCGTCTATGTCCGCCTATGTCCGCCTATGTCCGCCTATGTCCGCCTATGTCCTGTCCTTTTTGGATTCTATGAGACAAGCGGACATAGACGGACGTGACACCCCCCCCCCCCCCTATATAGGCGTACGTGGGGGGTCTCAGGGAGGAGATAGTTAACTTCCAGAAACTGTGCTTCCAGACCAGATGCGAGGTAAGTGTTATATAGGCGTACGTGGGGGGTCTCAGGGAAGAGATAGTTAACTTCCAGAAACTGTGCTTCCGGACCAGATGCGAGGTAAGTGTTATATAGGCGTACGTGGGGGGTCTCAGGGAAGAGATAGTTAACTTCCAGAAACTGTGCTTCCAGACCAGATGCGAGGTAAGTGTTATATAGGCGTACGTGGGGGGTCTCAGGGAGGAGATAGTTAACTTCCAGAAACTGTGCTTCCAGACCAGATGCGAGGTAAGTGTTATATAGGCGTACGTGGGGGGTCTCAGGGAGGAGATAGTTAACTTCCAGAAACTGTGCTTCCAGACCAGATGCGAGGTAAGTGTTGTATAGGCGTACGTGGGGGGTCTCAGGGAAGAGATAGTTAACTTCCAGAAACTGTGCTTCCGGACCAGATGCGAGGTAAGTGTTGTATAGGCGTACGTGGGGGGTCTCAGGGAGGAGATAGTTAACTTCCAGAAACTGTGCTTCCAGACCAGATGCGAGGTAAGTGTTATATAGGCGTACGTGGGGGGTCTCAGGGAAGAGATAGTTAACTTCCAGAAACTGTGCTTCCGGACCAGATGCGAGGTAAGTGTTGTATAGGCGTACGTGGGGGGTCTCAGGGAGGAGATAGTTAACTTCCAGAAACTGTGCTTCCAGACCAGATGCGAGGTAAGTGTTATATAGGCGTACGTGGGGGGTCTCAGGGAGGAGATAGTTAACTTCCAGAAACTGTGCTTCCAGACCAGATGCGAGGTAAGTGTTATATAGGCGTACGTGGGGGGTCTCAGGGAGGAGATAGTTAACTTCCAGAAACTGTGCTTCCAGACCAGATGCGAGGTAAGTGTTGTATAGGCGTACGTGGGGGGTCTCAGGGAAGAGATAGTTAACTTCCAGAAACTGTGCTTCCAGACCAGATGCGAGGTAAGTGTTATATAGGCGTAAGTGGGGGGTCTCAGGGAAGAGATAGTTAACTTCCAGAAACTGTGCTTCCAGACCAGATGCGAGGTAAGTGTTATATAGGCGTACGTGGGGGGTCTCAGGGAGGAGATAGTTAACTTCCAGAAACTGTGCTTCCAGACCAGATGCGAGGTAAGTGTTATATAGGCGTATGTGGGGGGTCTCAGGGAGGAGATAGTTAACTTCCAGAAACTGTGCTTCCAGACCAGATGCGAGGTAAGTGTTGTATAGGCGTACGTGGGGGGTCTCAGGGAAGAGATAGTTAACTTCCAGAAACTGTGCTTCCAGACCAGATGCGAGGTAAGTGTTATATAGGCGTAAGTGGGGGGTCTCAGGGAAGAGATAGTTAACTTCCAGAAACTGTGCTTCCAGACCAGATGCGAGGTAAGTGTTATATAGGCGTAAGTGGGGGGTCTCAGGGAAGAGATAGTTAACTTCCAGAAACTGTGCTTCCAGACCAGATGCGAGGTAAGTGTTATACAGGCGTACGTGGGGGGTCTCAGGGAAGAGATAGTTAACTTCCAGAAACTGTGCTTCCAGACCAGATGCGAGGTAAGTGTTATATAGGCGTAAGTGGGGGGTCTCAGGGAAGAGATAGTTAACTTCCAGAAACTGTGCTTCCGGACCAGATGCGAGGTAAGTGTTATATAGGCGTACGTGGGGGGTCTCAGGGAAGAGATAGTTAACTTCCAGAAACTGTGCTTTCAGACCAGATGCGAGGTAAGTGTTATATAGGCGTACGTGGGGGGTCTCAGGGAGGAGATAGTTAACTTCCAGAAACTGTGCTTCCAGACCAGATGCGAGGTAAGTGTTATATAGGCGTATGTGGGGGGTCTCAGGGAAGAGATAGTTAACTTCCAGAAACTGTGCTTTCAGACCAGATGCGAGGTAAGTGTTATATAGGCGTATGTGGGGGGTCTCAGGGAAGAGATAGTTAACTTCCAGAAACTGTGCTTTCAGACCAGATGCGAGGTAAGTGTTATATAGGCGTATGTGGGGGGTCTCAGGGAAGAGATAGTTAACTTCCAGAAACTGTGCTTTCAGACCAGATGCGAGGTAAGTGTTATATAGGCGTATGTGGGGGGTCTCAGGGAAGAGATAGTTAACTTCCAGAAACTGTGCTTTCAGACCAGATGCGAGGTAAGTGTTATATTGGCGTACATGTGTAATCATAATTTAATATAATTTGTTTCTGTCCAGCTTATTATGTTCTACTAATTAATATGATTGACAGAAAAAGTAGTCGCCCCTCAGTAGTATAGGATATACTGTATATATATATACTACTCCCCTCCCCAAGGTGTCCAGCAGCTCAGACACAGCCCTCGACAGAGATAGTGAGCTAAGGACCAGCTCCACAGATACCCTCGACCTGCCCGACATCATCCTGGGTGACATAGAGAACAAGGACCACCTCTCCAATACTAACCTCATATACGAGACTACAAAGGACACAGATAACAATGAGGTGTTGTCCAGGGACAATGGTAGGATCTCAATAACGGAATATGTGCCTCAACTGGAAGAAGAGCTGGAGACCTGGGAATCCTTTTACAGAAGTAACTATGATGTGTTCGAGCTGATCAGAAAGTGGAAGGAGCTCAATGACAGGTTGGAAACAAGATTCTTATGATCGTATTACTAATAAAATGACAGTGATGGGGGAACTACCCCCCCCCCCCCACTGTGAATACCCCCCACTGTGAATACCCCCCACTGTGAATACTTCCCCCACCCCCACTGTGAATACTTTCCCCACCCCCACTGTGAATACTCCCCCCCCCCACTGTGAATACTTCCCCCACTGTGAATACTTCCCCCACCCCCACTGTGAATACTTTCCCCACCCCCACTGTGAATACTCCCCCCCCCCCCCCACTGTGAATACTTCCCCCACTGTGAATACTTCCCCCACCCCCACTGTGAATACTTTCCCCACCCCCACTGTGAATACTCCCCCCCCACTGTGAATACTTCCCCCACTGTGAATACTTCCCCCACCCCCACTGTGAATACTTTCCCCACCCCCACTGTGAATACTCCCTCCATCCCCCACTGTGAATACTCCCTCCACCCCCCACTGTGAATACTCCCTCCACCCCCCACTGTGAATACTCCCTCCACCCCCCCACTGTGAAAACTCCCTCCACCCCCCCCCCCCCCTGTGAATACTCCCTCCATCCCCCACTGTGAATACTCCCTCCATCCCCCACTGTGAATACTCCCTCCACCCCCCACTGTGAATACTCCCTCCATCCCCCACTGTGAATACTCCCTCCATCCCCCACTGTAAATACTCCCTCCACCCCCCCCCCCCACTGTGAATAATTCCCCCACCCCCACTGTGAATACTCCCTCCACCCTCCCACTGTGAATACTCCCTCCACCCTCCCACTGTGAATACTCCCTCCACCCCCCCACTGTGAATACTCCCTCCACCCCCCCCCCCACTGTGAATACTCCCCCCACCCCCACTGTGAATACTCCCTCCACCCTCCCACTGTGAATACTCCCCCCACCCCCACTGTGAATACTCCCTCCACCCCCCCCCCCCCCCCACTGTGAATACTCCCCCCCCCCCCCCCCCCACTGTGAAAACTCCCCCACCCCCCCCCCCCCCACTGTGAATACTCCCTCCACCCTCCCACTGTGAATACTTTCCCCACCCTCCCACTGTGAATACTCCCCCCATCCCCCACTGTGAATACTCCCTCCACCCCCCCCCCCCCCCCCCACTGTGAATACTCCCTCCACCCCCACTGTGAATACTCCCCCCCCACTGTGAATACTTCCCCCACCCCCACTGTGAATACTCCCTCCACCCTCCCACTGTGAATACTCCCCCCACCCCCACTGTGAATACTCCCCCCCCCCCCACTGTGAATACTCCCCCCACCCCCACTGTGAATACTCCCCCCCCCACTGTGAATACTCCCCCCACCCCCACTGTGAATACTCCCCCCCCCCCCCCCCCCCCCACTGTGAATACTCCCCCCACCCCCACTGTGAATACTCCCCCCCCCCCCCACTGTGAATACTCCCCCACCCCCACTGTGAATACTCCCCCCCCCCACTGTGAATACTCCCCCCACCCCCACTGTGAATACTCCCCCCCCCCACTGTGAATACTCCCTCCACCCTCCCACTGTGAATACTTTCCCCACCCTCCCACTGTGAATACTCCCTCCACCCCCACTGTGAATACTCCCCCCACCCCCACTGTGAATACTCCCTCCACCCCCACTGTGAATACTCCCCCCCCCCCCCACTGTGAATACTCCCTCCATCCCCCACTGTGAATACTCCCTCCATCCCCCACTGTGAATACTCCCTCCCCCATCCCCCACTGTGAATACTCCCTCCCCCATCCCCCACTGTGAATACTCCCTCCATCCCCCACTGTGAATACTCCCTCCACCCCCCCACTGTGAATACTCCCTCCCCCCACTGTGAATACTTCCCCCACCCCCACTGTGAATACTCCCTCCACCCCCACTGTGAATACTCCCTCCTCCATCCCCCACTGTGAATACTCCCTCCATCCCCCACTGTGAATACTCCCTCCACCCCCCCACTGTGAATACTCCCTCCCCCCACTGTGAATACTTCCCCCACCCCCACTGTGAATACTCCCTCCACCCCCACTGTGAATACTCCCCCCCCCCCCCCCCACTGTGAATAATTCCCCCACCCCCACTGTGAATACTCCCTCCACCCCCCACTGTGAATACTCCCCCCATCCCCCACTGTGAATACTCCCTCCACCCTCCCACTGTGAATACTCCCTCCACCCTCCCACTGTGAATACTCCCCCCACCCCCACTGTGAATACTCCCTCCACCCCCCCCCCCCCCCCCCACTGTGAATACTCCCTCCACCCCCCCCCCCCCCCCCCCCCACCCCCACTGTGAATAATTCCCCCACCCCCACTGTGAATACTCCCTCCACCCTCCCACTGTGAATACTCCCTCCACCCCCCCACTGTGAATACTCCCCCCATCCCCCACTGTGAATACTCCCTCCACCCCCCCACTGTGAATACTCCCTCCACCCCCCCACTGTGAATAATTCCCCCACCCCCACTGTGAATACTCCCTCCACCCCCACTGTGAATACTCCCTCCACCCCCACTGTGAATACTCCCCCCCCCCCACTGTGAATACTCCCTCCACCCCCACTGTGAATACTCCCTCCATCCCCCACTGTGAATACTCCCTCCCCCATCCCCCACTGTGAATACTCCCTCCACCCCCACTGTGAATACTCCCTCCACCCCCCCACTGTGAATACTTCCCCCACCCCCACTGTGAATACTCCCTCCACCCCCCCACTGTGAATAATTCCCCCACCCCCACTGTGAATACTCCCTCCACCCCCACTGTGAATACTCCCCCCCCCCCCCCCACTGTGAATACTTCCCCCACCCCCACTGTGAATACTCCCTCCACCCCCACTGTGAATACTCCCTCCACCCTCCCACTGTGAATACTCCCTCCACCCTCCCACTGTGAATACTCCCTCCACCCTCCCACTGTGAATACTCCCTCCACCCCCCACTGTGAATACTCCCCCCCCCCCCCACTGTGAATACTCCCCCCACCCCCACTGTGAATACTCCCTCCACCCCCCCCACTGTGAATAATTCCCCCACCCCCACTGTGAATACTCCCTCCACCCCCACTGTGAATACCCCCCCCCCCCCCCCCCCCCCATGTGAATAATTCCCCCACCCCCACTGTGAATACTCCCTCCACCCCCCACTGTGAATACTCCCTCCACCCCCCCACTGTGAATACTTCCCCCCCCCCCCCCCCCCCACTGTGAATACCCCCCCCCCCCCCCCCCCCCCCCCACTGTGAATAATTCCCCCACCCCCACTGTGAATACTCCCTCCACCCTCCCCCCCCCCCCCCCCCCCACTGTGAATACTTCACACTCCAGGTTTGCAGAGCTCGAGACGCCCTCGCCTGATAAATACAACAATCGAGGGGGTTCGTTGTTACAGTCACAGAAAGAAGCAGCTAAGATCTCTAAAGAAATACCCAAGATCGAGAGCAAAGTTCTGGCTGAAGTGGATAAAACTATTGGGGAGGTTAGTCTTTAGAGACATACGAATTAGGGGTCGTCACATATTACGTAATCAGCCGAGGGGGGAGGGGGGTTTCCAAATGATTACGCTAGTAGTAGTGTAATTTTGACACAATAGCTAAAGGGTTAAAATTGGCCAAAAAGTGATGACGTAATATGTGAACGACCTCTTATTAATATTAGCTGAATAAAACTGTATAATTTTGTCCTCCATTTTCAAAGGTAAGGTATGTTTCATTAAGTTAACCACGTGACACCCTATTCCAGGAGATCCGAATAAACGGGTTGAGTTTAGAAGACTACTTTGTGGAGAACAGAGCCACCACTTCTCTCTCCCGGATCAACAGTTTGCGGAGGTCTCGTAACAAGTCAGGTAAAGGACCCAGACACTCCCCCTCAAGTGAGGATCACAGTATAGCCAGGACGCGGAGTCTACGTGAGAAGGCTAGCCCCGACACCAGGAACTGTAGAGTGAAATCCCCCAGATCCAGTGTCAGCATTGCAGACAGTAAGAGTACTGTAGATGCCTTGTCCAGGAATTGTTACGGCCCCACGGCCACGTCTAGGAGGTCTATGAAAAAGAGGGTTTCAAGAGATGCTGGTTTGGACAAAGTTGGCCGTTGAAGTGAATCCAGAAGCTGCTATTTTCAGATCTTAAGAAGCTAGAACGGTAACTGCTTCCATTATTTGCAATCAAGAGATAGAAAAGAAATAGCTATGTACAATATAGTACAGACAGTACTTATGTACCCATTTCAATGTCAACAGAATCACAGATCTGGTATAACAGAGGATAATGTCAGTTCAAAACGGTGGGCAGGATGTGAACTAGTAATATAGGGTTGATAAGGACGCGAACAAGAGGCGAGCAAGGGCTGTTGCTGGTTTTTGTTGTCTAAAATGAATTGTTGCGTACAGGCGATTTCAGTTGAGTTTTTAATGTACAGATTTGTTGTTCAGTGTGAAATAATTCTATTGTATGTAAAGATTGAGTGTACAAATTGAACAATATTTAAGCTATGCGTACTCAATAGGTTCAAAATACAAATATACAAAAACTATTAAATAACTTGAGTTAGGAAATAAATTATGACTGGAAAAACAAAGTTTAGCATTGAGGCCCAAAATTCACACAAAATAGTAATTGGAAAATGCAATCAAACAAAAATGAGTGGTAAAAACTTCACTCCTCGAAAGGGTCCGTATAATAATTCTAACTCTTCTACAGGTGGTATCAGTCCCACATGGCTGTGTTTGTAACTAGTATTTCCAATAATCAGTGGTGTTCCTTCCATGGTACTTGGTGCTTGTAGTTGAGGAGGAACCCAGTCCCCACCAACACGGCGCTAATGTGTAGGAAGGGCCGTATGGTGCTTTTGTTGGTTAAGTACTTCTGAAAAATTATTTATAATTTATTTAACGTCCTTTTTTGTCCGCTCGTAAGTTAACAATTTATCGTAATTTTACGCTATTTCTTATTTGAGAATTTCCCATATCTTCAAACCGAACATAAGATTGATACCTGGTTATAGAGGTTGGCCCATAGAGTTAACTGTCTTGTGACTGGTTTGACCCCGAGGTTCTTCTCAGCCCACTTTCCCACATCCCTCAGAGGAACCTCTGATACGGGCTCCATTACCTTATTTGGGCATAACGTGGTTACATTACCTTATTTGGACATAACGTGGTTACATTACCTTATTTGGGCATAACGTGGTTACATTGCCTTATTTGGGCATAACGTTATTTCTAAATTGTGGTCAGTAGATTTACGCTAGAACGGTCCAATATAATAAGAAAATCAGCAAAACAGGAAGATTTTCAGTTTACATACTATTAATGTAATGTTAGCTACTAGCTACGTGGGGGGGGGGGTACAGTATGCAGTACACTACGTGATACTGATTAGTAATTAGCCCCCCCCCCCCCTCCCCCAACTCTTAGCAAGACAGTGAAACAAACAATTAGAAACCAACAACTGATTTAACTTACACAGGTCAACTCTATTTCTGGGAATGTTCTATTCACAAATTTTAGAATCCTTATAAAATTCAAAATTAAATCCAACCCTAAAAGATCGTTAACATTAAGAGAAAATCAGGAAAAAATAGTGAAAACTACCTTAGAAAACTTGAAGGAGGATAAGTAAATAAGTTACGTTCAAATACGCGGTACACAGAATTATAAATGGACTTGACCTGAATCCAACATATAAAGTTCGTCTAATTCAATGTATTGAATACGATGTATGATAAATTAATATATTAAAACAGTCTATAGTTGCATTGATATACACAGTAAACTGTAGTGGCAACTAGTGCCTCCTCCGGTCCCTGTCTCTGTTCCTATCCTTGTCTCTGAAGCTATCCCTGATAATATTATGAAGTTAAGTTCAATGTGTTTATACGTATATCGTGTAGTCTGTCAATTTAAAAACAGCAGACTTCTTTCTCATTCATAGTGAACTGTAAAAAACAAGACAAGCTGGAGAATAGCTTGAGCGATGTAGTAACCACACACTCACCGACTGTCATGACCACCACGTGACCCCCACCCTCCGCCGCCTCCTCCACCTCCGCCGCCTCCTCCACGACCACCACCGCCTCCACCTCCACCTCCTCCGCCTCCTCCGCGGGGTCCTCCTCTACCGCCCTTGTTCCAATCAGTGAAGTGCTGCACTGTTCTCACTCTGAATAGAAATTAATGTTAGTAGCAGGAATCTAGAAGTTTCCTCCACCAAATATGCACATGAATCTCTGTAGCCAACTGCAGCCTATACACTTTGTGTACCAGTAAAATGATTGGATCTGAGCTTAAAACTAGAGATGAGATACCAAGATTCAGGACTTACCCTAGAGTCTTCTGCATTTCTCTTGAAAGCGTCTTGATGTGCATGAAATTACAGAATCCACCTCTAGAACATTCCCTGCAATATGTTGTATATTACCCATCCAATATTCATAGATTTCCAAAAGCTTCGCTGTAACATTTGGCGGGAATTTGAATTTTGCAACTCCAACGGATACTTTTCACAAAATATGTAAATTTTCCAATCGGGTACTTACGATAACTCGTGCTGTCTACAACTTGCTTCCCTGAAGAAATTTACTAAAGTTTTGACGTGAGACGATATCCCGGTAATAAGTTACAGCAGCCCAACTGACGTGATAGGCAGATGATTTGGGAGGCAAACTAGTACTTCGCGCACTAGCGCGCGCTAAAAATGCGAACGGTACTCTGGGTTTGTGTGGATGTGAAAATGTGCGCGTTACGTAAAGAATGGTTTCCTTTGTCCCTATTTGGCGAATTTCTTCAGAGCTCAGAAATCCGAATGTCCTTATAAGCTGCAACTATAGAGTACATATAACATAGAATCCTTTATTAATCTAAGTCTATCATAAACTATATGATTACTTAACATTGACTTGACACTGCAGTGCCAAACTTAAAATACAAGATAATCTACTAACTAGGCTAGATTTTGAGCTACGAGTCTGAGGACAAATCCCTTTTTGTTTCATTTCATTTAATCTTCGCTTCATTTTCTATATAAAGTACCCATGAGTCATCTAAAAAAACTTGTATAAACGCTGCAATGCTGAACCATTGTCAGAAAAAGTGGACTGTGGAGAATGTTAGGACATGTTTTGCGGGGTCCTGTTTATGGACCAGCGTTTTCCTCCCTCATTTTTGCAATTAATACGCTGAGCTTACCAGTTACACTCCCTAAAAGAATGTTATACCGATCAATGGGTATGTGGTAGTCTCTCTCAGAAGACAGGGGGGGAGGGGGACGCCCAACAGGGGGGGGGGTGGCGCCCAACAGGGGGGGGGGGGGACGCCCAACATGGGGGGGAGGCGCCCAACAGGGGGGAGGCGCCCAACAGGGGGGGAGGGGGCGCCCAACAGTGCAGGGGGGTGCCCAACAGGGAGGAGGGGCGCCCAACAGAACTTTTCCTCTTGAGGTGGGTCCTATATAAACTGTATCCTACACTGGAGGGACTCCATTAGACGCTACATTAGACGCTACAGGGGGGGGGGGCGCTATCTGTGATGACGCTGTGTTGAATTAAATTGAGGTATGTTTCGACTGAACGATTTTATACTTTTGCACCGTTCTAACTGCGAAAATGTAATACGTGTTTTCGAATATAATAGGCTAGGCGGGTTTATACTTTTGGAAGTTTGAGAATTCAGAATCTCCACCAGATAAAAATTACAAAGGATAAAATGAGACAATCACCTGAAATCAGTGACAGGGGAAAGTTCAGCATATATAGGGGATCCATTGTACCATCTGTTATTGAGAGCATCAACTGCTTTTTGAGTATCTTCTTCTCGCCGAAACTAAGGGTGTTTTAGCCTGTGATGAGTTATAATGATGTATACCATGATACCAGTATAAGATTATTTCTTGTATTTACAGTTTCTAAATATTAAGTAGATAATAACAGGGGGCCGGGCGGGCACACTGCACAGTCTATATTAGGCTACAAATTGAGTTTCTAGGTTTTACATGTTCAAAATGATCTGAGAAGCTTTTCCCCGTAGGATACAAGAACCAAATTTGAAAATTCCTGTCCGTCATACATCCGGAAAAAGGATTTACTGTGTGGTGCTCTACTACTGGTAAAACTCCAACCACTTGTTGCTTGTATTATCGATAGTCAATGTGTCGTGGGAAGGCGTAGCTATATTTAATCAGAGAAGTCTCATTTTCGCCACTACTACTGCATATCATGGTTATTATTTATTAGTTACATATGTTTCTTAGGTAAAATTGAATACTGAAAGGATAATACTTTCAACACTTTCAATATAACAAATAATTTGAGATCATGAATACGATGTTGTCACATTGAAACGTTGAATAATTCCTTTCCTGATAAGAGTATTTTCCTTGTCGCTTCAAACGTGATCAATAAAACTTGTACCTAAGAAACATAACAACTATGCGACTTATAAATAATGTTCCGAATACCCCCCCCCCCTCCCCCCGAATATTACATTTCACATGTACTCTTACCTTGCAATACACATTACCAATCAAATGGTCGCCCAAATTCTCACAAACGTTGAGTTCATCTATAGGCCCATACTGTGTGGTGAGATATGAAATGGTTTATAGCATCAGAGTTTAACCTAGAGGTTATGTAAACTTTAATATTAGGTGCTGCCATATTACAGCACTTTAAATGATACTTCAGATTACTTTTTATTAACACCATTATTAATATGGAATACTAAGGACTAGACTCTAGCTAGCAGCTAGAGTGCTCTAGCTAGAGTACTCATTATTAAACTTATTATTAAACTCACCTTCTCTTCAAGTTCACAATAAATATCTGCGAAAAATTCGTCGAAATGTTTTTGAACCGCTTCTTCAGTAAATTGAACTCCTGAAAAATTAAAACATGAAGATAATAACATTTCCAATAAAGAAAAAATGAATGGAGTTATTTAATAATTAGCTGTTACTACCTTAAAGTTTATATATACAAATTGAAACGACTGGTTGAGTCAGACAAATGTTTCAATCATGATACAAAACCATGATATCATCAGTGACAACTGAGGTAGGAACAATACTACTACTAGGGTTTAGATATATGAGTCATTAGTTTATAAAAGGAATTTCCGTTTATGGTGGCATTTTGTAAGGATTTTGGGGGTCAGAGGACCGAAGTAAGATTTCTAATTTCTTAGACGTGCACAGATCGCAGCTGTTCTGGCCGGCTCTGTATCCGTGTCCACGTATAATTATTGTCCATTCGATCTTCAATTCTAGCTCACGGTCTTTGAAGGACCAGATCTTCTCCGACAGTTTGGTTCTATTTCGGTACCGCTCCAGGCGAAATGATGACGTGTGCCCGTTGTACCGTTCCTTGAATGTGCCCTCCGTCATTCCGATGTAGTGGTGTTTCTCATTTTCCGTACGGAGGGTCGCCATGTATACCACAGGTCATGCACGAGTCCATATAGCCGCTTGACTTCAAAGCATCCTCGTAGTAAGGCTTGGCGTCGTCGAACACCTCATTACAGGAGGATATGCTGTTGATTCGGTCAGCGATCATCTCCGGGATGTTACGGATGATGGACGGTGGGTGATTTGACTGGGGGTGTACATATTTCGTTACCTTCTCCGCTTTGCGGAATGGCCGGAAGGAGACGACGCCGTCAGCACACCCCCATAATAATATATAATATATATCAATATAACTACCTTGTTTTTGAAAGTGTACTGGGTTCTGGTACATGTGAAGCAGTAAGAGAGTCTGGCTGAAGGTTGGTTTATTGTGCTGTCTTGAACACCGCTCCCCGTGACAGCACGCTCCTATCTTGAAGTAGAACGGACAGTTTACCCTGCGATTTAGATCTCACAATTATCTAAAATAAATACGCAATTATCTAAAATAAATACTTAATTATCTAAAATAAATATTTAATGTGTGAAATGTGCTAGCAGGACATTTAGTTCAAAATCCATATCTGATCAATTAGTTATGAAACTGGCAGGTGCAGGATTACAAACAGCAGGGGTTACTGCAGGGGTTACTGCAGGGGTTACTGCAGCAGTAATACTGCTACTCCAGTAATCTGCCTAATCCTAATGTTGATCTCAGTCAAGAAAATGGCGATGACAATTTTAAAAGTTGTTATACCTATCTTTTTCAGTTCCAAATATTGAAGCTAAAAACTCAGCCATTCTGAATAATATGAAAATTAATGTAGGGAAAAGGGAGTGGCATGTTAAAATAATAGATCCTAATTGATATTATAATTAATTAATTGATATCATAATTAATTGATTATGATTGATATTACAGGGTGGCCCATAAGTGACTACCCACACGCAACCTCTTAATAACTCACGTAATTCGTCTCCAAATTGCACCAAAATTTCAGAGATTATAGATATGGGTCAAACTTAGATTTCCTGAAAGTTTCGTAAGCCACGCCCAATTACAGTGGGCGTGGCGTGACACTCCCTCTTTTTCACTATTGTCTTCATAAAATGAGAACGCTTTAAGCTAAGAACTCAAAATTTTTTGCACACATTTGGCTTGATAATTGAAAACGTTTCCAAAAGTTTCAAGTTCATTGGTTAAAATATGGCTGAGTTATGACCATTTTAAAATCCATCGGATATGTGATCCGAGCACTCAGTCAGTGATATTTGCACTCAATTAGTGATCTCGTCACCCAATCTGATCAAGAGTAAGGCGTTAGCGTGTATTAATGAGGTTCATTAGGCTTTGATTGGATACCGATGATGTCTTTGCTAGGAAGGAAAACACAAATTTTTAGGATAAATCAATAAATGAAATCAACTAATAAAAATTCCCACACAAAAACAATTCAATAATTTCAATTAAGATGTTCAAGGAATGTGTTGGCGAAATCTATCCTCGATTGGAAATCACGGTCAAAAGTTTGTGTTTCTTTGTGATTCGGTAGGCCCGGATGTGTCCATCACGTCACCAACAACCATCGTGATGTTTTCTACAGTCCTCGCAGTTCGTCTTCTGCCGACTCTTCGCCGATCGTGTGCAGAAAACGTAAACTTGATCTTGTGATGAATGTCAAAGCAGCTTTTCCGGCAAGGGGGTGGTCGGTTGAATTTCATCTGAAATTGTCGTTTAATCTGAGGGTAGAACTCCCCATTTTCTTTCTTCAGGTAGACGAACAATCGTTGTTCTGCAGTAAAGGGAGGATAGTGAACCATTTTTATTGATTGTAAGGAACCTGTGACTAGCAGGGCTAACAAGCCCTGAAATGGTGACACCACCATAAATTCGTGTGATAGCGTTTTAGGTGCTGTCAGCTGTATAGGCCGGCCCATAAGCAGGCTGCAACCAATCAAGCGGTGCATGTGAGCCAAACAGGCCATTAACCAAGTGACGAGATCACTGACTGAGTGCTCGGATCACGTATCCGATGAGTTTTGAAATGGTCATAACTTAGCCATATTTTAACCAATGAACTTGAAACTTTGGGAAAGGTTTTCAATTATCAAGCCAAATGTGTGCAAAAAATTTGGAGTTCTTAGCTTAAAGCGTTCTCATTTTATGAAGACAATAGTGAAAAAGAGGGAGTGTCACGCCACGCCCACTGTAATTGGGCGTGGTTTACGAAACTTTCAGGAAATCTAAGTTTGACCCATATCTATAATCTCTGAAATTTTGGTGCAATTTGGAGACGAATTACGTGAGTTATTAAGAGGTTGCGTGTGGGTAGTCACTTATGGGCCTATGTGTAGTTATAGACTACTGATTATAAGAATACAGTGTTGAAATTCAGGAATGAATGGAATTTTCGATTGTTAGTTCATTTTAACACAAGAAAAATGCGAAATTTTTACATCAAATATATATCATTTGTAAAATTTAAATGATCCAGCATGATCTCAAGAATTAAATCAAATTTTAAGATAAAATAACACTTTTATAATTCAAGTCAGACGGGAGAGCTTGGTTTGAGAACATGTTGAAAATGTTCTAACTAAAATTAGAGACTTGCATAAGTTTGTAAACATGGCTGTCGAAAGAGTAAATACATAAAGACCATCAACACCGAGCCTGGCTAAGTAAGCAACCAGGGGGCTAAGGGACGTGTTTTGGTAAAATTAATGGAAATGTCTGTGACTTACAACCAGGGGAGAGGACCAGGGCTAGGACTAGCAGTTGTAAGAGAGGCACTAGTAGTTGTAAGATGAAGCACGGTTGTCACGACCATACGAATCACTACGGCCTTGAGAATCACGGCCATAACCCTCGGGTGCAGGAGCACGGCTATCACCACGACTGTATGTCTCCCTGCTCTCACCACCACGACTGTATGAGTCAGAACGGCTGTAAGGGTCGGCAGGACGGCTGTAGCCAGACGAGCTGGTGTTGTAATCTCGACTATAGCTGTCACTAGCGCCATATCCACCACTACTAGCACCATACCCACCACTACTTCCATACCCTCCTTTATCAGCTCCGTAAGCAGGCCTGTCATATGAGGAAGGAGGGTAGGAGGCAGGCGCAGAATAAGAAGCAGCCCCGTAGCCACCACGGTCCCCTCCATAGCTGCCACGTTCGTTTCTGTAGCTGCCTCGATCACCACCCCCGTACTTGTCACCCCCTCCATATCCACCTGAACCTCTGTCATCACCACGACCACCACCACGACCACCTCCAGTTGAGAACCGCTCGTAATCCACGTTATAGTCCATGTGACCCCTCTCATCCTCGTACACGTCCTTTACCATCTCAGCCACACAATCATCTACATTCTTTGTGTCCTCACTCTCTATAGTTATGATTCGTTCACGAAGGCCTTCGATGGCCTCTTCCTTTTTCATTGTACCAATCTTAACATTGAACTGATCTTTCAAACGATTCACATTGGCTCCTGCCTTACCTATGATCTTCCCAACACTGGTATCAGGAACTACGATCTTACAGGTAGCTTTTCTAGCATCGTTCTGACTAGTATTGATATTTTTGACGTGTGGAGGGACCTTATCCGTACGAATCTTCTCTTGAACAAAAGCAATTACTTTATGCATGGATTCGAGCTCGCCAGATATTGATATGACTCGTTCATCAGTATTGGGAAATCGAACATTGTTTTTTGAGACCTGGATGTTAGCACCGGTTTCTTCTTTGATCTGTTTGATGGCTTCACCACCCTTACCAATGACTGCACCTGCACTGTAATAGGGACAAAGCACTTTGATGACTTTCTCATTTCGACGGTCTCTCTTGGCAAATTTCTGATCACCTTCATCATCATATGCACGCTTACGATCTCCCATGATAACGGCTGAGCTGACTAGAAAGGGAAACAGTGGTGTGAGAAGGCTGTCATGTTTGTTTAAATGTAATGAACCATCATAAATTGCTGTTCATTGACTTTCAATTAGAATTTGCCGCGAGGTTGCTGCAAAAGCTGTAGGCATTAAATGTACGAACAGTTTCAAATTTAGTCTATTGATATTGATAAACATTGTTAGTCCACTGATAACGACTAACCAATCTGATATGTTTCAAGATAAAGATCAATAGAGTATACAGATTATATATAGAGATATATAACACTGGCATCACTTTACACACCTTGATACTTAGGGAAGAAATCAATCATGTATTGTTGAAATTTATTAGCTTCTTTCATAGAAGTTTAGCTTGTCACTGACAATTCATATCATTTAGCATAAAAACTCGTGAACACTATTATTTAAGTATTAAAGTAAGATCAACAGTGCTTATACCAGGTATTCAAGTGAAACAGAAAGTCAAGAGCAAAATCCCAGCATATCTCCTGGTGCACAATTTACATGCTGCATTAAGAACTATATAGTACTTACTTATAGTATATACTCTTATTGCTTTACTAATCATCCAAATACAACGCAATGTCATTTACAAACTAACTTAGTCTGCATTCTGTTCTGTTTTAAATAACTACGTAACAACAATATATAAATTATGACCTCTACCAAAACGGGAGAGCTCTATCTGACCATCTTCGATCCAAGATAACTTATAATGATAAAAACATGGTTAACTCAATAATTATCTTTGTAATTAGACTGATTGCTAAAACTACCCTCCCTACTACCACCACTTTTATTGTCAGTAGCATAACCTGCTCCATATCCAGCAGCTTGGTTGCCATAACCAGCAGCTGGGGTGCCATAGCCAGCAGCTTGATTTCCATAGCCTTGATTTCCATAGCCACCTGCTTGGTTACTGTAACCACCACCTTGATTTCCATATCCCCCACCTTGATTGCCATAGCCGCCACCTTGGTTTCCATATCCAGCTCCTTGATTTCCATTGTATCCACCTCCTTGGCTGCCATATCCAGGTTGATTACCATAACCGCCCTGATTATCATAACCACCACTTTGGTTGCCATAACCACCATCTTGATTGCCATAACCGCTACCTTGATTTCCGTAGCCACCTTGGTTCCCATAACCCCCACCTTGACTTCCATAACCACCTCCTTGGTTACCATAACCACCACTGCTGTTATTGCTATAACCACCACGATCCATCTGAAATTGGTTATAGTCCAAATTGTAATCCATATTTACTCTGTCATCTTCATAAACTTCTTTTATAACATCAGCAACACAATTGTCAACCCCTTTATCATCACCCTCAACAGAAACTATGCGCTCACTCAAACCAGCAACAGCATCAGCCGGTTTAGTCATGGTGATCTTCACTTGATGATCATCTTTTAGGCGGTTAACATTAGCTCCACCCTTTCCAATAAGTTTCCCTACACTTTGATCTGACACAACAATTTTACAGATACTTTTACGAGCATCTACTTTGTCAAATCTGACTCCCTTTGCTTGAGGTGAAGGCTTTTCAGTACGGATTTTATCCTGAACAAACTGAATTACCTTCATTTGGCCTTCTAATTCTCCTGATATTGCTATAACTCGTTCATCAGTTTTAGGAAACCTAGCAGCTCCTTTAGAGACCTGAATGTTAGTACCGCTTTCCTGCTTGATTTGATCAATAGCTGCTCCTTTGGTTCCTATCACAGCACCTGTGCAATAGTAAGGACACAATATCTTGATAACTTTTCCAGTGCGGCGCTCCTTCCTAGGAAATTGTTGACCATCATCATCGTAGCTCCGTTTACGATCGTCCGACATGGCTGAAGGATTGTCTATTATGCAACAATAGATTTGATATGGATAAATTTAAAACGAACAAATGACTCAAATAACTTCCTAAGAAAAGCATCCGTTAAGATGCACTTGAGAGTTCTTTACTATTTTTGATCTAAAGCCTAGCTTTAAGGAATCAACATTCATGATTTATCATCTGCAGTTTTGTGATTAAGGTAAACTGTAAAGTGTAGTATAGCAATATGGTTTACAGTGCAATGTTGAAGAGTACCCTAATATTCTAAACAGTGGCGAAATGTTGCATGTTGGCACAATTCCTGAAACATCTCGCTAAAAAGATCAGCCTTAAGGCCTCAGGGAGGGTTCAAGGTCTTACCAGTTGGCAGACCACCTACTACCTGATGCTCGCGCACCACCCCTAGCCCTCCATAGAGCCTGGTTTGACGTAAAATTGAGGGTAACCATTACCAATTTATTCAGTTAACCTTGCAAATAACCGGTTCTTAACATTTTGTTGCTCCCAATAAACTTATCCATGGGTATCAATTGGCCATCCAACGTCAATAGAACTATAGAACTGTTATATGCCCTTAATTTGTTGAAAAATAGAGGTTAACATATATTTTTAAAAATCAGTCTTTTAGCTCCCCTGAGACCACCTTCAATTAATTAATTAATTCAAAACCTCATATCTCAGCTTTGGAGCAAAGAATCAAAAATTGCTGCATTGACGAATAATGTTGCCAGTTAAAGGTCCCATGTCATAAACTGTAAAAGATAGATTTTATACAAAATGTCATAAATTAAAGTTTTTTCGGTCAGGACAAAAGCCCCTGTGGCCCCTGTGGACTTAAGAAAGGCCAAAGATTAGATTAGATTAGGTTGAGAATAATGACATAAACATCATCACTAGTTTTAAACATTCTTTCTGATTTCCTCATTATCAGAACTGTGAACATTTCACAGCCTTCGTCATTAAAAACAAACAAATTCTATAACTAAAATAATTGTCATAATTTATTTACATATAAAAAAGTGGACAAAAAATGTGAGTACAATGACAGAGTCCCTAATGTGGAGAAGGCTACCTTCTCTCCGTTCCTCACACACTCAAATTACCTAATTGAACAAATAGACAAGATGGTGTAGACATCAGCCAGAGGTCGTTTTAAATAAAGCGATACAGTAAAAATTAAACATTCTGCCATATAGACGACAACTCCATCTGTCAAATTATATGTTTAGAATCATCCATGACAATTGTCCTACAAACTTTATGAACAAATTTAGTTACATATCAGGAGGTAGTAGGAGCTGCGAAAGCTGCAACCTATATGTTGATAGATCAACATCACATAAAAACTTTCAATACTTGGGGGCAAAATGTTGGAATAATGTTCCAACAGATCTACGAAATCTGCCCGATGTTAAAAGCTTTAGTGAAACGTATAAGAAACAGCTACTCTCATCTGTAACAACAGACCCTAATTATACCCTCGACAATTCATATGACAAATTTTACACTGCAATCATAGTCGACGATAACTAAGTATCTTCTAATTCTTTTAAATCTGAGGCATATATAATTGATGTATCGAAAGGATATTCCCTTTTTTACCACCTTACCATTCTGATTGATTTTTCACATGACTGACATGTTTTAACTGGAGAAGGGGTTCGCACAGTGGTAGTTTTATAGACCACATTTAATTTATTAACTTATTATACTTAGTATTTATTTTTGGTGACTGTATCACCCAGTTTTAACATTTGATAATTGTACAGTTTATTGACGACACATTGACTGAATGTTATTTTATATTCTAATCTATATTCTAGATATTTTATTTATTTTTCAACAGACGACAACTTCCTGTTTTTCTCTTCTATATTAGTTACTCATATCTCTTGTACAGACTGTTTTACAAGGACATTGACAGATGATACTCACATTAGGCATTCATTATTGCATCTAAATTATTTCACTTGCATTAGGTTTAGAGTTTTATTCTCTGGTTAACAGATTTCAAATGTTTAATTAATTTGTAGTATGACAGTAATGTATATAAGAAGTTATTTAATTTTGCTTGGGCTATTATATTGACTATTGAGGTTTAATGATGATATGGAATTTGAATTTTATATAAATTTACACTATGTGGTTGGGGCATTTTGCATAGTAAATATGGTTACTACTCCTATATATCATATTATTTGATTGGTATTCGATTTCTGATTATTTCCCTAGGAATATGATTATTATATCTCAATTTGGCTTTAGGTAGGGTGCCCCGCTAAAAGAACTGGATTCTTCCAGGAAGCATCCCGTGCACAGAGCTTGGTCTACATATATATTAAATTATTAACCATTCATTCTGTATGTGCACGAAAATTTATTTCAATCAATATAGATGAAACACTTTCCATAATAATTTACTGGGCCGCGCTCAGCCTGTCATTCTGCCGAATCTCTATTCATATGTTTATGAACATGATAGCCTGAGGTCCCCAGGTAAATATTCATATGTTACATTTTAAATGAACGCTCACGTCACTGCAACAAGCACTCTTTAAACTTGTAAGATGCAGGAGTGTTGATCAGGTTTAGGTCCGAAACACACCAAAGGTAACACTGCAACAACAAAATTATTCAAACAATATACACAAATAAATTCAACAATGGTAATTGTTAGACACCCGAAAGTAAACTTCCATCAATAAATTTTTTTTAATTAATAGATTTAAATTTAAGAGTAAAAATCTGAGTAAAAACCCTTAAAAAACTAAGGAACATTTGTGGAAACATTTATAAAGGTAAATAGTACGAGTAGCCAGATAACAATCAATACACTGGCTCTGCGATCTAAATGCAGAGCTGCAACGTGAAGTATGCAGAGATGTAGTGACTGAGCCAGCATTGATACCCCTTGATAATGAAGAAATTGTTGGTACCAATGCTGTTAGAGCTGCACCTGATGTATCCTCACGAGGTCTCTGGAGCACATTTGAACGAACATTCTTTGATGTCTGTGTTACCCACCCCAACTCACCCACATATGACAAAAAAGATATGGAACAGATGTTTTTTCTTCTATTTTAGTTACTCATATCTCTTGTACAGACTGTTTTACAAGGACATTGACAGATGATACTCACATTAGGCATTCATTATTGCATCTAAATTATTTCACTTGCATTAGGTTTAGAAATTTATTCTCTGGTTAACAGATTTCAAATGTTTAATCAATTTGTAGTATGACAGTAAGGTATATAAGAAGTTATTTAATTTTGCTTGGGCTATTATATTGACTATTGAGGTTTAATGATGATATGGAATTTGAATTCTATATAAATTAACACTATGTGGTTGGGGCATTTTGCATAGTAAATATGGTTACTACTCCTAGCTATATATCATATTATTTGATTGGTATTCGATTTCTAATTATTTCCCTAGGAATATGATTATTATATCTCAATTTGGCTTTAGGTAGGGTGCCCCGCTAAAAGAACTGGATTCTTCCAGGAAGCATCCCGTGCACAGACCTTGGTCTACATATATATTAAATTATTAACCATTCATTCTGTAGAGAAAAGAATATTCAAACAATATACACATAATATAGCAATGGCCAATTGGCTGACTATAAGGTCATGGCCTGAACAAACAATTTTTTTAAATAGTCAAGTGATGCTAAAGCAGAGCACAAATGTGTAATAAGTTAATAGATTAAAAAACTGATTCATGTGATGCATTCGCAGAGCACAGATAAAAATACTGATTCAATGATTAAAATTATAGCTGTGAGTGTCAATAAATTACTGTGTCGTAAAAAAAGGAACGATGTACACGTGATCTGAAATACCAATATCTCAATATCAAAAGGATAGTGTCTAGAAACATTCATAGTCCATGGTGGCAGGTATCAAGTTAAACGAAGTTACACTGACTGGCAATGTATACGATTGCCGTCTCCCTCTCTCACCCCTGACCGCTATCAGGGTGCTCCTGAGGATTGAGAATCTAATCCTGGTGCGCATGTAACACATAATAGCCGCATAGTCTTCTCCTCTCTTCTGGGATAGTTTTTCAGCGAGTCTCTTGTGGTATCTTGTGGCTTGTGGACCCCATCCGCCATTTGTTGAGTATATAAGTGGAGTAAAGGTGCCTTTTTCCACCTGGATGATTCTGTTGTTGTACTTTTTCATTTTCCTCATTTCATGAGCTTTATAGATCTTGATTGATAGCGGTCAGGGGTGAGAGAGGGAGACGGCAATCGTATACATTGCCAGTCAGTGTAACTTCGTTAAACTTGATACCTGCCACCATGGACTATGAATGTTTCTAGACACTATCCTTTTGATATTGAGATATTGGTATCTCAGATCACGTGTACATCGTTCCTTTTCTATGACACAGTAATTTATTGACACTCACAGCTATAATTTTAATCATTGAATCAGTATTTTTATCTGTGCTCTGCGTAATGCATCACATGAATCATTTTTTAATCTATTAACTTATTACACATTTGTGCTCTGCTTTAGCATCACTTGACTATTTTTTTTAAAAGTTGTTTGTTCAGGCCATGACCTTATAGTCAGCCAATTGGCCATTGCCAAAATTGAATGTAATTTATTCAATATTTTATTCGTTTATACACTGGCTCTTAGTTTAAATCTAAATCTGCTATTTTAACTCAATGAAACAAGAAATTTAATTTTAGCACATTTTACTACAGAATAAAAAGATGTAAAACAATTCATAAAATATAATGCCCATTTGGTGTATGGCTTTTTGTCCTTGACTGCTAGTTTGGGTTTGGAAGGACAGGTAACTAACGGGGCAAGGAATGCGCGTGCCTGAAAGCTTTTGCACACACCGAAATGCTAGTTCAGTTAGGTTTTTAGAGACAAGGCTCATATTAGGACTAGAAGAAATTTGTTAGTTGACGTTAGGGGTTCTGTTTGTAATAGTTGTTACTATAGGTTGCAGTCTTGTTGTGACAAAAAGTCTACACTAAAACATACTTTAGTTTATATTGTGTAGGATATAAAATGCAGCTTCATGGTGGATATTGGAGAGCTGGCGAAAGATTATGGCCTTTGTGTCAATGGTTATAATAAGCTATAAATATCTTAAACTAAACAGTGCTAATTAAAAATTTCTTTATACTTCATTCTCAGATTAAGTTTAAAAAATTCAGAAATATACATTCATTTTATTAAATTTTCTCACACATACTTTACTCACAGGACAAGACTTGGAAAACAGTAGCCTAGGGAATTTAATTGAGATGTGTGTGACCAGCCAGTTATAATGTTTGGAAAATAACATTTGTGCAGTCAAAATCTTTTATGGTCCAATCAAGCAGGGCGTGGTTATGTTGATTGGCTAATAGTGCACGTTTTAGCTTTCCTCGCAAACACATTACACTAGTAGTAAAGTCAGTCATTCTGAACTTTGGGGTTAAGATGTTAAAAATTTTGGTTGATCTAGTGTTGTGGTTGTCAGGTGGGTCTGCCTGACAGATTAGAAGGCAGGGTTTCCTTGACGAACATTGTATCACGTTGCGACCCCCACGGTCGTTTCACTATCGTCCTGACGATACAGGGGGAGCCGCGCACTTCGTGCGCGGCGGGTCATACAGCGTATGACAAGACACACATGTTGCATGTGTAACCCTCATGTAAGGATATTGGAGCACGGAATTTCATTATCTTGTAGAGCTCCAGGTAACTGTGGTATGTATAGAGATTTTGTATAGCTAGAATATTATTATGCTTGAATATAGGTTTGGTGTGCTCTTTTATGAAAAAATTTTGGTCAAGTTTCTGGTGTTCTATAGGCCTAGTACGTGCACAAGTCTTAAACTTATCAAGGTACGCCAGCCTATCACCAAATAGTACTCTGAGACAGTACTTCTGAGCAGTAAATGCACTACTACTTTTCCCTCTTTCTCCTCTAAGAGCTATAATAAGGTCCACATAAGGTCAAAATCACTTATTGCCGTGGATAAACGAGTTCTGACACCTCTGTGACCCCTGATGCAGATGGAATTTATACAAGTTATGAGTAAATCTAATTTCTCGTAAGGATTTCAGTATCAGTATGAGTATATGCTTTAGGAAAACAAATTACAGGAGGAATGGCACCTGAGGCCAAGCGGTTCATAAGGAGACTTGCTGTGTTCATAGCCACCAAGACCAAGAAGGACTACAGCCAGGTGATGTGTAACATCAAGACACGCCTGAGCAATGGGCATGGACATAATGAGGAGTTTGCTAGTAGCGGTTAGAGGTGTACGTGGAAAGGCAAAGAAGGCATGGACCGCCCCTATATCCAATCTCTCCTTCAACCTGATACCTGATGAGAAGCGCATCCAATAATGCTTCTCGCAACCACTTCTTCTCTGCACCACTGGGCCTCGCCGAGCTGTGAAGGATTTGTAGCGCGATGCGTAACTGTGCTGCGCCGCGCACTCATTTATGCTTCTCGCTAGATCGACGAGATGCGCTACTGTGCCGCGCCGAGCTGCGATGAATTGACATCGTCAAATAATGAAGGATTGAGATCGTGAATCAAAGATTGACCGTAAAGTGATTTAGCACGCTCCAACGAAATTGCCCATATTTCAATATTTGATATTACTCAAAAAACAACAGTCTAACAATATAGATTGCAAAATACAAAATAATTGGTAAATCCGTGAATGAGGGTTCACCTAACTATGGTGCATGCAATGCGCCAATGCAAATGGGCCTGGCCTTCGCCATGACTCCATCCTTCGCAGAGCTCGGCCTTGACAGTTGATTAACAATTAACGGGTGATACTTTGTATTTGTAAAATATTTCGTATTTGTTCCAAATACAAAATAACGACTAGTTCATATCAGCTCGGCGCGCGTCTTGGTAGATCGTTAACCTATAACACACATTTGACCGAAATCAGATGTGAGATGTCTTACCTGGGGACCTCAGGCTATCATGTTCATTAACATATAGAGATTCGGCGGAATGACAGGCTGAGCGCGGCCCAGTAAGAGATGTCAAGCATGATGGGTTTATCTTCATCACCCGGTATCAGGAGATTTGTGGTTACCTGGCACGCCAATCTGCAATCCCAATTATGAATTACAATGCACCGCGCTCTTTTTGAGCGTCCCGCACAGGAAACTATCTTTATCATTTATGTGACGGGAACCGGGTTGTATCACGTTGCGACCCCCACGGTCGTTTCACTATGCACTATGGTGACGATACAGGGGGAGCCGCGCACTCGTGCGCAGCGGGTCATACAACGTATGACAAGAACCGGGTGAGTAGCAAGCTAGTTAAAAATAAAAGATTTGGTTGACAGTAAATCCACACTATGGAAATTAAGGCACTACCCTTGTAGGGTAATAACCTATCAATACTTGCAACTTTGAACTTGCGCAGAGTTGTTTTTTTATTGAATTCGTCGATATTTGGAGCAAATATTTTACTTGACCGTGACGATGGTACTTGTTTAGTACTCGTCTATTCTTTTCGGAATATATTGTCCCAAGGCAAATGCTGCGAATTAGCTCGAGCCGGGTCATGTCAGTCCATTAAGGGGGCATACACCAAAACAGGGGTTTGTGTCCGCCAACCTTGTATCACGTCGTGACCCCCACTGTCGCTTCACTGTAGAGTTTCGACGATACAGGGGGAGCTGCGCACTCGTGCGCGGCGGGTCATACAACGTATGACAACGCCAACCCAAATGACCTCATAGGAATTTTGTACGAAGTTTATTCATATCTTGTTGATGTTCAAGATGTGTGTAAAATCTTCATATCGTTTCTGAAAAGGCTGCGTTTTTATAAATTTTTTCAAAAAGTGGTTATTTTACTTTTCAGGCTTGTTTTGACCAAAAAGTCCGTCAAGGAACATCGGACTGCTTGACATGAAAATGTTTTCTGAATTCTGGCACAGTTTTTAAAAAAATATGCCTAAACTTTCCAGTTGAATAAACACATTTTTGAGGACATCAAGATAATATGATGAATAAACGTCGTGCAACATTTCAGCTCGATATCACAAGAAATGATTGATTTATAGCCTCTCAACAAAACAAATGGTGCTTTTCCGAAAAATGCACTTTAACCAGGAAATGCTCGATTACAGAAAAAGGTATTCTCAAAAAAAATTTGGTGTGGAAACGGTGCGCTAGATGGTCACTTAACTTCCCAAGAGGTCATCTGGGTTGGACATGTTTGGTGTATATAGTAGTATATAGTAGTATATATAGTATGCCCCCTTAATAATAGTAATGGACAGATATTTTAAGAGTATCACCCGTTAACAATACCCATAAATCATTTTTTTAAATGGAACACGGAAGAGTGATTTAAAGTAAAGTTTTCGGTTTAGCAAAGTTTTCGGTTTAGTAAAATAAAGTGGAATGAATTAAAAATATTCCAGCACCCTGGCCTAGTAGCCTGGCCTGGTTGACGGGACAAATAATAACCTGTTATGATAAAAGTGGGCGAGAATAAGTTGTAAGCAAATAAAAGTCCATTCTAAATGATAAAACAGGAATATGTATGACGCGCCATCGCTACACAACTAATGCAAACAATATTAGAGTATTTCAAATCTTGTACCCAAAAACACACTTACTGCTACATCGTTGCAAAGTGTACACTTATAATATACTATCATGATAAACTTTCGGTAAGATAAACACTTTCAAATAAAGTTTCAAACTCCTTTTTCTACAGTTTCAAATAATATCGATAGCGATGTTCAGTTACCTGTTACATCAGTTCCCAAAATCTACTCAAACTCTTACGTGCGCGCGTCGTGCACACCACGTCGCTGAGCAGCGTGACGGCACGCACGCGTGAGATGACAAAACGTGTGTTAATTCTAAGGGTACTGCAGAATCTCAGATTGGTAGAAGTTGGAATAGTGCGGTTGCGTGGATTGGAGAGTCGAGGAGAGACGTTGGGCGTCCGATTCAGTGAAGCCAAGATAATGGAGGTCCCTGACAGAAAGTTGGGCTAGCTGCGGCACCGTGATCTTCAGCTGTTCTAGCCTCTACAAATATTCCAAAGTTAGTTCCGACTAAAGATAGAGTAAAAAACAAGTTCTGCCAATTTGGGCTATTTAAGGGATAAAATCGTACATATATTACATCATTTATTGGTGGTTGTTCCCAACTCTAAGTTTCGCTGCAGAAATGAAGCAACAAGTATGGTTTAATTAATTATATTAAGGGTCATGTTGGACCAGAGTAAAACTAACCGGTATGTAGTCTGAGAGTCCCAGCTTGAAAAGCAGTGTGGGAAGCGGCCACTGGTAGCAGGGCACATTTTCAAGGTCCTGTGACCACGTAGTGCCATTGTAGAGCGACCAGGCTCCCCCACCAGCCCCCGAGTGTAACAGCGAGTTGTACATGTTGTTTGAACGGCCAGAGTTGTAGCTGAGGGCGGGGTAGGTGTAAGAAGGGGGGGAGGGGGGAGGGGAGGGGGCGAACAACATTCAGAGCAA